GGACAACCTTTTCATTCTCTTTAAGAGAGGATGTTATAAGTGAGGTGAGATTTTCGACCGCGGTGTCTATTTTCCCCGTACTGTCGAGGACGTCGGAAGAAAGGGTTATGGGAGGGTCCGGAGAGTCTATAGCCGAGGCTAGAGACTTCTTGAAGCCCTTCCAGTTGGTGTAGGTTTTGGAAATGGGAGTTGGAGATGGCTGATGGCCAAGAAGGAGGGATACAGGACGGTGGTCGGATCCTAGATCATCGAGAGACTCGATTGCTCTAAGGTTAAGGGAGACTCCTTTAACTAGAGCAAAGTCTAGCACGTCAGGAGCGTAGTTAACATTGTCGGGATAGTGGGTGACAGCGAGGAGGCTGTAGACAGTCAGGTCGAGAGACTGAGTGGTATTGAGCAGCACCCTGCCACTACTGGTAGTAGTGCGGCAGGTCCATTCAGTATGCTTGGAGTTAAAGTCTCCAAACATAATGACTGAACCGCCTAATGCAAGGATGGCTTCGAAATCACTCTTAACGGGGAGGGTTCCGCTTGGGATATAGCAAGAGGCTATAATGATTGACTGGTGTCCAGTCATGGCTAATCTAGTGATAGTGGCTTCCATACTGGTAAGCGTCGGAGTGGGTATGTGGGAGCAATGAAGGGACTTTTTGTAATAAATGGCAGTACCGCCGCCTTTGCGGTCGGGTCTGTCATTACGCAGAAGTAAATAATTTTTAATAGAAAGGCCTTTAGAGACCTTGGGGCTGAGGTGGGTCTCCTGAAGGAGGAGGAGGTCGGCTTCGCGATCTCGAAGAAATAGCCTAAGCTCTGGGAGGTTGTTTCGCAAACCGCGGATATTGAATGAAACAAGCGACAAACCCTTTGGTTTGATACGACCGTGCGATATTGCGGGAGCAGAGGGCTCCGGCATAGTGTTATTACAAAGACCTTAGTAGGTTGATGTGCTCAGTAAGAGCAAGGAGACGGTCCTGAGGGGACTGAGCGGTGAGCAGTTTACGCGCAAGGATAGAGATTTCCTCTATATTGATCTTATTCATAGTGTTATACACTAGGCTTAGATCTTCTACTACAGGGTCTGCCTGTTTTTGTGGGTCGACGGAGGGCCGCGGGATATTTGTTGACCCGATCCATACGCAGTAGTATAATAAGTCTATGCATTTACTATAATTTCTATAGTTGTTAACACTAGTAAAAAACTATAAAAACAAGTAGAAATGACACTTCTCAAGGTCGAGATTGTAGTATGTCAACTTGGCTAGCTATATATAAGTACATACATAGCCCCGCTGTTTTGCTATTATAATTTTATTTTTTTTAAACAAATATATGTAGTCTCTTTCTTTATTTCTTCTAAATAGATTTGCGTACCTAATACTTTTGTCCGTACCATCATTTTTCAGGTTGAAATTAACGAGGAACAGATCTTAGTTTTCAACCGACTTCAAAAAAGGAGGAAGTTTTCAATTCGACTGTATTTTTATGTGTGTTACCTCAGAACTTTATTTTAAGACTGGTGCTTCACATGTGGTCTCATATAAATTTTATCAAGATCTGACCAGTAGTTTTTGAGTTATTCTTAATAAGCTAAAAAAGTTTAAGTTTCAGCCTACGTACGTCCCACTCCTGGGCACAGGCCTTCGCTCATTCCTGAGAGGGTTTTAGGGCAAGGAATTGTCCGCCGTGGTACCCCAATGCGTGTTGGCGAACTTCGCATGTCTTCGAAATATTTGTTTTTCTTATTTTTCAGACATGCAGGTTTCCTCACGATGTTTTCCATTACCGCCGAGCACATGGTAAATCAGTACTTAAAATTGCATTTAACAATTTCATTGGTGCCGGCGGGGATCGAACCCGGTTTGCTCGCGTACTGTAAAATTTACAGCGAGCACTAACCATCTGAGCTACCACGGCTCAATAATTCTTAATAATGCGTATTTAATTGACTTCGACTACATTGATAATGTTCTCATTTTATTATTAAAGTCGGTTGTACAAAATTTTGTTAGTCTGAAATAATATTTTGCGGAAGCGCTTACTTTTCGAGATATTATTTTTTGAATAGTTTTTTTTTACTTAGGTGATTGAAATTATTTTTTTTAGATATATTAAACACTTGTTGTGATGACTTGTTAAAAATATCCAATTATGTAAAAAGTTTTACATATAAAGTACGTATCTAATAAACTAAATTTTTCCTGTTAACAAATATTGTGTTGACAAACGAACACATGGCGCGATGGTATTTTGTAAGTATATTATTCAAATTTCATTTTCCTCATAAAAGGATTCCTTAGGTTGTTGATAAGGAATGTGTAGGGATAAATACGGCAAAAATTTTATAAAGTGTAATAAGTAGCCTATTGTCTATTTATGTGTAATTAAGTTTAACCTAAATATTGATTTTAATGAAATAACATTTTATATTATCGATATTTCTTTTAATAATATCAATAATAATAGGTTGCAAGGAGCAGCTCATAATTGACTCAACCATTCATAGACACGCAAATTTAAGGAAGAGAACCTTACATTGCACATTTATTGACTACCGTAAAGCATTTTATAGCGTAGCTCATACTTGGCTAATTCAAGTTTTAAAAATTTATAAAATAAACCCCAGTTTAATTAATTTTTTGGAAAATATTATGTTGTACTGGAAAACCTCTTTACATTTGCATACAAATAATACTAGCCTTAATAAGAGGAATATAGCTAGCCGGAAAGATATTTACCAGGGCGACTCCTTGAGCCCATTGTGGTTCTGCCTCGCACTCAACCCATTATCTCGTCTACTTAATGATCAAAAGAAGGATTACCTTGTAAAACTCCCTAATGCCGAGATTAAAATATCACACTGATATACATGGACGATATAAAGCTTTACGCCAGTTCGTTTAAAGACATGAAAATCTTATTAGATATTACAAGTAAATTCAGTAACGACATAAATATGCAGTTTATGTTGATAAAGGTCAGTTGTAGGACAACGGAATGGAAGAGAATTGCTAACTTTTAATAGTCCCCTCTGAGCCCTTTCTAATTGCAATATGGTCGTTTTAGGTGCCCCTCCCCAGATGGTAATGCAATATGTCAACAATGATTGGCACAGTGCAAAATATACCATTTTTCTTACATTAAAATCTGCAACACGACGTAGATTTTTAAAAATACAAATTAACTTACGTATCCTTGTACTTAAGAGGCCAATATGAAGGTGAAAGCTTAGGGTGTTATCTATCATTACGCCGAAATATTTTATGAAATTCGTTCTAGACAGGGTAAGACAGGAGCAAGGGCTTTCAATTTGGGAGCAGCAGTGAGCTGTAATATGGAAGTATTCTAACTCAGATACATTGATGTTTTGGGTAGTAAATGCTATGTATTTTGTTTTATTGACATTTAATGTAAGTTTAAATTCTTTTAGCCATTTAGTTATTAAATGAAACCCATTTTCCTACAACACCCCCTGGAAAAGAAGAGCCGTGTCATCAGCAAAGGCAATGAACGTCCCATTGTGAATTTTTAGATTACATAGTGTATTAATATATGTAAGAAATAGCGTGGGACCGAGCACACTACCCTGTGGTACACCATTCGATATGGGAAGGTCATCACTGTAGCAATTACCAATCCTTACCCTCTGATATCGATCCGCTAAGTAGTCAGAGAAAAGTTTCAGCTGTGTATTTCTTATTCCAAGATCTTCTAGGCTATTCAACAAGAGCGGGACGTAAACTGTGTCAAACGCTTTAGTTAGATCAAGGAATATAACAACTACTTTCTTCTTACGGTCAATAATTCAAGGATTAATTTAAAAAAATGTAGTAATGTTTTAATAATAAAAAAAGAACAGCTATGCATAATGCTAAACATGAAAGCACATATCAAGTTATATCAGCTACAGTAGCCCAAGGGTCACTCCAGCCGCATCTCAATCTACTCGGCATCTCAACTTTCTCGGCACCTTCTCGGCATTATCGATGTCCGTAATGGACTCCTTGAGCTACGTTATTAAATGACCTCTGAGAGATGACTATATATATTTGTGCCTTATGCTGGTTCTTCTCTTGGTTCGTGGAGTCCACGCGAGGTACCAATGACTGTTATTCGTGGTAACAAGAGTGCTGAATCTTTTTTCGCCCAAAGACTAAAGCCATCTAAGGAGGAAACGCGGTCAGCGTTCTTCGAATAATACCGCGGATGAATTTAAATAGGATTTATATATTAAAATATTAATGTTACTGAAATGGTGACCAGCTTAGTAAAAGCCGTAGCAAATGTCTACAGCTCTAATTTCGCTCGGTACCACATAAAATCGTATTCGTAAGTCGGTGTAACGATTTACTGGATTTACTTGGAATTTAAATTAGAAATAATTCGTACCATTGAATAAAACTATTATTTACGGATTTTATCGCGTTTAATTACTTTAATTTGTTTTTATTATTATCCCGACGTTTCGGGCGCTTTACAGCACCCATGGTCACGGGGGGGGACTGAGATGTTTGACGTCCCAATGTCATAGTTAGTCCGGCTACCTTCAGTTTTTTAATATTAATTTTTGGTCCGATTTACGCAAAACGAGCTTATAGTATCATGAAGTCTTGCAGTGGTACGCTTGGGTTTGGGTTTAATTTTGTTAATTATAGGATCCCAAGCAGATGGTAGCACCCAACCATCTTCTCTATTGAAATTTGGATGTTTTTTTTAATTTCAATAGCCTCGCGTATCATCCTTGGTAGGAATCGGTGTTCTTTTGCGAGAATTTGTGGTTTATCAAATCTAATGTAATGGTGGGGACGATCTTGAACATGTTCGCAGACTGCAGACGTCCCGGAGCGTCGGTCTGATTATGACATGACATTGGGACGAGTCCTCCCGCAGGGATAATGGATTGTTTTATGTATGTCATATTTAGAGACTTATGATCCTGTCTTGGGGCGATATCCTGAAAATAAATGCCAAAAGATATTAATAAGTTAGTGAATGGTTTGCAGGCCGACCGAGCTACGAATCTAATCCGCGGCACGCGATACGAACAATACCTGCAGGTGCGCGCCGACATCAAGGACTTCCGCGATAAGAATAAGCTGGACAAGATCATTGTGCTGTGGACGGCTAATACTGAGCGGTAAGTTGTATGTAATTACGGTCCACTCATACACAAGGGAGGAAAGAATTATTAGCGTTATGTTTTTTCTGTACCCGAAAACTAATTGCCGCCGAATATAATTTTTCTATCTTGTAAAATATTGAGCAAGCTTGTCGGAATTGTTTTTAATATGGTTAATGTTTATGGAAAAATTTTTTGTTATTTTTTTATAAGCTATAGTCATTTATTTTAAATGTTTATACTTAAATTATACTTATTTTTATAAGTATCACGTATTTTTTTGTAAATTATTCGGTGTACTTATGTCGTGCGTAACCACGAACTCGTTTTTCATCATTCTTTTTGCTTTATATTAAACTGCTGTGTTCAAAACAATGTAAACATTTTTGGTATATCAATTATAAAACAAATTCTATAGAAGTAAGGTTCATTCGATGATAAATGAATATTATTACTATTAGATGTCTTCATTAATCTATGATTGGTTAGATATCTAAGAGATCATTACAACAACAACAATTAACAAACAAACAACGACAAAAATATTTTTTTTTATTCAATAAGGGTGACAAACGAGCACATAGTCCACCTGATGGTAAGTGGATGCTGTGGCCCATAGAAATCTACGTTTATCTTCAATTGATAATCAAAATGCAGATGCTTTGCCAGCCTTGAGGATTGAGATGGAATGCCTCGTTTCCAGTAAAAAAGGATCTCCGGATCTCTACACTCACCATACGAAACACGAGCAGTATTAACCTGTTATTTTACGCTGGTATTCTGTGAGAGTGTGGTTCTTCCCCGGTCGAGCCGACCCATTCGTGCTACAACCATGATATAGCTGCACCGTGGCTCTGTCACGTATAATATAGATACGTGATGAACCATACAAGTAACACAAAACGGCATCCGTCTATGTAATGCTTTAATTAACAAATAGTTTATCCACTCTGGTCCTGCATTCGTTGTCGTTTTGTTGCCACATTAAACTGAACTACTAAAATCATCCACGTCACGTTTCACTCAGATGAAATAATGCGACGGTTCGGCCGCCATAACTCTTTTATCAGATGGAGACGATCAAGATCAACGTACTTTGTTGCTAAACACGTAACCTCGAGTAAATGCTCAATGTAGATTCATTCATTCACTTACTTTACACAGTCATATCTTTCAGTATGATCATCAATCTCAAGTAGGGTAACCCAATCAAAAATTAGATTTCCTGATTAAATCCTTGATTCATTATTCTTTGTAATAACGATGCATTACAGTCTCAAAAGTCCATCCTCACATACATTGCCCAATACTTGCTATTTGTTACGTTTGATAGGCGGTTAACCGCATTTTTTGTTATTTTGAGATGTCATCAAGAAAATGATGCTGCCCATCTCCTCTTACATTTCCCTCTGTTGCTTTTTACGACACCCACGGGATGACATACATTAGTAGATACATATACTTACACCATCCACTGCACAACACTCACTAATCAATTATTTAAAAAAATACTAATTAAATTATAATATACATTCACCTCGTCAATATATAATAAATTTCATCAAGTTATAATAGTCAATTGAAATCCGCCTGGCCTGATCATAGTTCTAAAAGCTACGACTCAGTTTTCCTTTACATCTTAAAGGAAAAAATTACAACCAGTGCCCGTCACAAGTGATAACTTTTGAAACGGGACGTATGCTTTTCACCAAAAATGGCCAAGGAAGCTCAAGGTTACTTCGGCAAGCTATGGACGGGGTTCTGTTTTGATTGATCCTTTTATTTATTTTTTGATTATAAAAATATTTAGACTTAATAAATAAATAACATGCAACTATTTATTCTTTCCCTTTCAAAGTTTTTTCTTGAATGCCTGACATATCGGGAAAAATCCTGTCAACTGGTAATAATTTCAGGGTTCCTGCTGAGGGCTGAGAATGGTGTAGCTTGGTTATTTTATCTAAATTAGACCTCTGTTACCTCGAATGCAGCTGTTTGTCACCGTAATTAAACTGGGCATCTAGAAATAATATTATGGCATCAAAGTTTGTTCTTCGTGTCTGACCGCGTGGTTAAAAGAAAGATCGATCAAATGTTAATGAAACTTAAAAATTAGGCGTTAAAAACAACAGAATTAAAATATAAGTATAAGACTTAAGCTAGTAACACAAATAACAAATATTTTTTCCATAAACGTATACCACGAAATAGGCCGATCTCAGTAAATCGGTATGCACTAGATTTTAAAGTTTGTTGGTATGCACTAGATTTTAAAGTTTATTGGTATGCACTGTCACCTCGGGCAGTTCGAACTAAAGTCAAACGTAGAGATTTACTTATTATCGATGTGTTCTCAGATATTCGCTGTTCGATTTATGGAATTTCTACTAGTCGCCATTTACTACATCCTGTAAAATAGGATTGATAAAATAATGACACATAAACATAGCCAAAAAATATTTTAGATTTTGTGATGTACGGCCGGGTATTCACGACACGGCCGAGAACCTCGAACGTGCTCTTCGCAACAACGAGTCTGAAATATCGCCGTCGACTATTTTTGCTCTCGCCGCCATTGATGAAGGAGTAAGTATTTAGTCTTTTTATATTTTAATAGTCAAATAATAATGTAGCATGGCAAATATAAATATGAATGTAGAGAAATTATACGTGATAGAGCCACGCTGTAGCTATATTTTGGTTGTAGCTCGAATGGGTAAGCTCGACCGGGGAAGAACCACGCTCTCACAGAATACCAGTGTAAAATAGCAGGTTAATACTGCTCGTGTTTCGTATGGTGAGTGTAGAGATCCGAAGGTCCTTTTTTACTGGAAACGAGGCGCGTAATGAGTCGGCTCAAACGGGGAAGGACCACGCTCTCACATAATATCGGCGTAAATGCCGCTGTGTTTTGTATGGTGAGTGTAGAGAACCGGAGACCATTTTTACTGGAAACAAGGTATTTCATCTCAGAGCTCAGGAGTGACAACGCATCTGTATTTTGATATTATTTCATTTGTTTATTATATTTTATATTTATTTATTTGTGATGTCTATGGTCCACAGCATCCACTTACCATCATGTGGACTGTGTGCTCGTTAGTCGTCCTTATTCTTTAAAAAAAGAATGCGATTCCCATTTTACTGATAATGAGGCATTCCATCTTAGACCTCAGGGATGACAAAGGATCTGCATTTTTATTCATAATCGAGGATAGAATAATCTGTTCTATATACTTATGGGCCACAACATCCACTTATGTTTGTTCACTCCTGTTCTCTGTATGGTGTAGAGTCTGTATCACTACGAACTATGAGGCATTTTCTCTAAGACAACGAATCTGTAGCCTTCGCTATTCGAAATTGGTCGCAGGTGTCCATGGGCTGCAGTTGACACTTATCATTAGTTAGACTGTAAGTTAGTTTGTTATTACGAGTAGTATTGTTGCGCGCTATAATTAGCGCCCGGTATATGGCGGGTGATTATTAGCGTCATCTGGTATCAAGCAGCAGAAATAGGAGCGTCAAGATCTTTTTAAACTCTCCCACTAGCGCCATCTAGTATCGAATAGAAGAACTAAGCTTTCTAGAAAACTCCACACTCGAATTTTCTACATCTAGTCGGTCGGGACGGGTATTTGCTGGAACTTTCTAGATGTTTCGGTGGAAAAGGACCCGTATAAAGCCGTTTTGGGGCGGCGACCAGGGCAGAATGAATTGGCGATACAAGTGAAGACTTAGGAGCGAAATAAAGTGAACTACAGTGTTAAGTGTGATCAATTATTAATGTGTTTTAAGTATTAATTGGTGTTCGGCAATTAATGTGTCAATTTTGGTAATTTAATCGGCAGTTTTTATTGTCGCGAACCCTAAGCTCGTAACAGTATATAAATGACCATTCTATTCCTTCCATTATAGCGTCCACTGCTGTACATGGGCTTGACCCATTGACTTATAAGATATTTGCCACAGCTGCCACGTGTGGCAAGCAGGCGTGCTTGCAACTGTAGATCTGTATTCTAGTTGTTATTAGGAAGACGTTGCTGCCCATCTCCTGCTTTATTTTACTCCAAGATATGGCCGGTTAGATTGTAAATGGGATTTGGAATGGGGTCATGGACGCTTTGTAATCTACAAGTTTTTTTTTAAATTGGAGATCCTAACAAATACCAATATTACCTAGTGTTACTACATAAACGGGTCTCCGCAAAATACGATCGTGGACGGCGTGGTGGAGCGCGCCGAGAAGATGGGTGTGTTCGTGGCCGGCGACGACTTCAAGTCCGGACAGACCAAGCTCAAGTCCGTGCTCGTGGACTTCCTGGTCTCTGCCGGTGAGTTGTCAGCATCATCAACCCTTAATTATCCCTATCAGGACGTAGTTTTCTTTCATTTTAAAGCGAACAGTCGGCATGTGGCCCCCTGCCGGTTTCAACGTGTGTGACAATTTACAACTCGCACAGTAAATTATTATTTGTGGATTTGTTATGTTGTTATGTTACAGAAATGATTTTCTTCCCAATAAGGTTTATGTATAAAATTTGGTTAAGTATTAAATAGTTTACAAGAACTCTGGGACAATAATTTTGAAGAATTATTCTTGAAAAATATTTGACAAAAATCAAAGAAAATAATGCTCGTTATACGTTACAGTTTATTAAAAGTCCACTGCTGAACATAGGGCTCTGGAGTGCCTCGTAGGAGAGATTGTACCAAAGTTGCCACGCTTGGCAGGCGGGTTGGCAACCGCAGTTCTTTATTCTAGTCTTCTTTAGTTTATGAGGAGTGGCTACTGCCCATCTCCTGGATTGTTTCCTTCTATCACTCTTACGACACCTCGGAAAACAACTTAATGCAAATTAAAAAAGTCAATAAAGTCTGATAAATTTTATTTTAATATAAATAGCACACTCTAATTTGTATTATTTAATTATGTATGTTTTATTTCCCCTGTATTCCTATTTTAACCTTGAAAGTAATTTTTGAGAAGATTTTGAAGTTATAATATTGCCGATATACAGGTTTACTCACGACGTGTAAATCACTAAGCTTGTTGTGTGTCAGGGTAAATCAGCCCTGAGAATTGCAGTTAGTAATTTTAAATCCCGCTGGGTTTCTTGCAGGTTCGTCCCAGTACAGAACCATTGTCCAGTGGTTTTTCAAACCAGTGATAAAAAAAAACTTACAATTAGTATTATGTAATAATCTATATTGAATAAGAGTCATTATATCCTATTCTATTCTAATTAACTATTTCTTGGTGCGGGCGAGATCTTTGCTTTCTCGCGTACTATGTATTTCAATCTAGAGCGATCCCCGTTTATAACGCGGCGCGTTCATATAATAATTGAAATAATTGAAAGCTAATCTTTTCACAGGTCTGAAACCGGTGTCCATCGTTAGCTACAACCACCTCGGGAATAACGACGGCAAAAATCTCTCTGCGCCAAAGCAATTTAGATCTAAAGAGGTAATTTAGTCTTTATTACTGACGCTTTACAGTAGGAAATGCAATAAACTATGAACTCGGGACTCAACTCTTTCAAGCGCACATATATTTTAATTGGCACTATTTGTCGGCGTTTTGAGTAATTTTAATAAGCGTTTATACGATATGGTTACACCGTGAATTTTATGTTACGTTGCTACGGGGGCATCCATAAATTACGGGAGGCGATTTTTTTTGGTGTGTTGTCGTGAGATATGGCTCGACGAATCTACCCCCTCCCCCCAAATCTCATGTGAGATTTTTTTAAATGCGTATTTTTAGTGTAAACGTGTAAAAAAGTGTAAGTGTGTTACGTGAATACGTAATATAAGTACATTCGTAAATCTGTTCGTGATTGCGATAGATTTATTAAAAAACAAAAACATAATTTGCTTCATTATTTTTATATAATTTGTAGAGTTTGCATACCCGCGATAAATATTATTGTGTGGCTATATTTTACTTATATAATTCAATTTTCTTGCAATTTTACACTGTTTCTTGCAAGTTGCTTGCCGAGTCCACCTAAGATTGGTTGAGATTCAGCTCGATCCACTCCCTCACCTAAATACCTGACGTCATTAATGGACGCGATGGAATGAAGGTCTAAACTAAAGCCTCCACAATAAAAACGGATAATAACAAAAACATAAAAGAAATTATAAAACATTATGTAATAAGTTTTTAAATTGTACTGAAAAAACAAATATACCTAATTTTTACTTTTAACACTTAAGAGCCCACTTAGATTTCGGCGTTACGCAAATTTAGGTATTTTACGCACCGAGCGGGCGACGACCCGAGCTCTCGCAGAGAGTTACGAGTTACGAGCGATACTCTATTTCATATCTATTTCTATTCACTCGCTCGCACTATGATACTGTGAGTATAGCGACTAAACGATCTTCCATTATATACGTTTTCTTAGGATGGAGTTCAGTGGATGGAAAATTTTTGATGTAATTTTTATGTTATCCAATTAATGTATTATAATGTATTTGATATATTTTTCATTATTTATGAACCTTATTGTTGAAATAAGTATACATAAATATTTTAATTGTTTCGCAGTAATCGATTGTTAACCGATGTTGGTTTATAATCAAATATATCTACTAGCTACTAGTGTAGTGGTATAAATAAATAAATAGTACGGTTGCAACCTGTTTTAATAAATAATATAACCAACTGTAACTAATATTTTTTTAATCGGTACTTACAGTCAATTACCATATTTTTTTATTATAAAAATATTTGCCGCAATGGCATTGACCGACCTTATTTCGAGTCAATAATTTCAGTTCAGTACATACACAAAATCAAAAGCAAACATATATACATATTCAACATTCAAAATGTGTCGTTTTTGTAGATTTTTAGTACTTTTACTGCATAATCTGGGTCAGTCCATATGGCAAGCATCCAGACATTTTTATTCTCCATTATTATTTCTCCAGATAGGATATTTCTTTTTTACGTTTAGCGACACATTGATACTTGTATTTATTTTTCCATATTCCGACTGGTAAGAAAGCTCAGCTACAATCAAAATAACTATTATGAGTTTACTATCTGTTATAATAATAATGTGCGAACTTTATACTAATTGAAATATAGTGTACTAAAGTAAATACCTCCAACGATCGAAAACTGCGATCGTAGTTGAGTTCTATTTCGGAACACATGCCACGATAGCAGGGCCTATAACAGCAATCGACGCACTTTACTATAATATAGAAACGAGACGGAGCGTGCGAAATAAATTGACACAGGTCCAAACTCGACAACCGCTCGCGTGGTAGTGAATTCACATAGCCAGCGCAGTGAATTATATGGTACTTTTTAATTTAATTAACTAAAAAATAATAGTAACGATTGAAAAAGTAAAAAGCACAGTATAGTTTAAGCAAATGTTGATCATTATTTTGGTATAAATTTAACGTCAAAATGATATAGAACTTCGGACATATTGGGGCTTGTATCGAAGCTTCTTCGGTCGTTAATTGAATTATGTCGATTTATTTTCCTTACGTGAAAGGCATATAACGAAAATGTATTTTATCATTATTAAAATATAGAATATTTGTGAGATAAAAATATTTCTTTTGATGGTCGATATTCAATAGAATCTACAAATTAGACCTCTCAAATCATGTCTCTCAGAGGTTTGGCGTAAACGTGCATCGGTAGAATCATTATTACTAAATAAATAAGTTATCTAAAATTTGCCTTGAACTTATTGTAGTAGAGAAAACGAACTATTTTTACCAAGTAATTGTTATTTCGAGCAACGAACGGAAAACATATAATTTAAACGAGAAAACCTTGTAATTTCGCGTTTTTTTTAATACTCCACTTAAAAAAGGAGAATAGAAAATGGATTTCTTCAGAAATAAAAATGTTAATTTGTATGGTCATTGCTTCCATCCTTTTCAGATTACAAAGAGCAACGTGGTGGATGATATGGTGGAATCGAACCCCATATTATACAAGCCGGGTGAGAAACCGGACCACGTGGTCGTCATCAAGTACGTGCCTTATGTTGGTAAGTAAAAGTTTATCCAAAATCTTTGAATTATGCAAGACTTAGGAATTAGCTCCCATATCCTCTCGTCTGTCCAAAACCTTCTAAAAGTCGCTATTAAAAAGTACGCGTACGTCCACAACCTTTAGAAGGTTGCAATTTACTTATAAACTTCAGACATGAAACAGCCGTAGTAAATGTAGCTGTATCTCCCTCTAACTCGTACAACATTGTTTTAATATCATTAACCTACTTATCTCGGTATGGAATTGTCGCTATTGAAGTACAAAATGTGCCTTTTTTGTGCCCTTTCGGGTCATCTTAAGTGCCCACATTACTGTCGAGCTTGTGGTGTAAAAAAATTTACGCAGAGTTGTGGCTTTTATTAATTATTGTAAAGTGCATTTATCGTATTGTAAATAAAATAAATATTTATTGAAATAATTGTTTATTTTTTATATATTTTATTCACCAAACTGGAAAAAAATCGCTTTTAGCATTTTTACTATGGAATTGAGAAAATATAAAAAAGGTGAATGTACACATTTACACACATTCTATTATCTTACTTAACAATAATTCTAACAACATATTATTTTATAGAATTTCCATTCATAATTATTAAGATATTGCCATTTTAATGACACGCGCCACGTATGCAATAAATCCCACTTTTAGGGTTGGACAGTATGCGCCAAAGTGACCATTTGGGCCGGGACAGTTGAAGAGGATATAATTAACTTCTTTCTGGATTCTGGAGTTTTCCCTTGCCGTAGTCTTCTTTTACAATATTTCATAATATGTATGTTCGTATTTTTTGTTGCGTGCACTTCATCTTATTATTTACACCACACGCACTCAATTACATACACATACATTTAATTACATACAAGCAAACTAAAATAACATACATACAAACTATTTTAAAATATATTTTAAAATGCCTACAACTAACCATATTTTTACATACCATGATATTATCTATATTACTTACAAGAATAAATGTGCAAAATTTAAAGATAATATGTTGCTATTCACTATATAAAGTGTAGAATTACTAAAACGAGCAAAAGTAATATGACGACTTATTTAAATAGCAACAGTTTGCATGCTCTTAGTGATAAGTTTCTTTTACTTGTCAAGGAAATTATTATTTTCCGATCAATTCAAGTGCGACATCTTATTATTAAAAATAGTAAAAGGCGCTAACTTAAATGATATCTTTATCGAAATTGATTAATTTTCCGTAGCGATAGTTTATAGCTGCCCGCCGGATAATGTCTTGATTTTGTAACTAAAACAAATCTTGCGCTCAAAATTATGAAAACATTCGTAGTATTAACAAAAATTTTAATGAATTTATCACCACGATGAGTATGATGAACATGGATATCTTGATCTTTACCGAATGTTGGCTTCAATCTACTGTAACAACTCCCTTTCTTGATGGTTTTGCGTCTTTGGCTACCTGTAATAACCCTGTACAAAATAATCGAGTCCTTGTTTATGCAAGGCGAACTCTTAACTGTAAAATGTACGATCCAATCTTCCGTGTAGCATGTGTTACACCAATCACACGGCTGTTATATATATTTACCGTTTTCCATCATACGTTGATAATATCAACAATTTTTTGAACAGCCTGGAAAAATTGATATCTACGCTTAGCTCTTATAAAACTATAGTTTTAATGGGAAATATTAACATTGACATTAAGGACGATAATCAAACCATGAATACCTAAATTCTCTTGCCATGCTAGGTTTTTTACCAGCTCATAATAATCCGACTCGTTTGGAAAACTGTATGGATCTTATTTTGCTGAAAACCAAGCCAGATGCATGTGTTATAATTCTTGAAACTGCAGTAACTGACCATGTAACTACTCTTCTGTTACTTTATAAAAAGCATAAATGGCTACATCATACCCTGAAAACAAAAAAATATTTAAACATTATGGAAATCAAACGTGAATTAGATAATTATGACTCTGAAGTCGTTTTGAAAGAATGGATCCTAATGTAGCAACTAGTATATTTATACATATCGTGGGCAGTGTTATAAAGAAACATTCCTCAGTTAAAATTATTTTAAGAAAATTTCGTACAATCAAACCTTTGACACCAGGTCTCATCCGATGTATCCGAAACCGCGATTTGATGCACATAAAGGCTAGAAAGTTACAGGATAATATCACCATACAAACTACGTATTAAAAGATATAGTATCTTTCTGCAAACTGTATTGAGAAAAGTTAGGTCAGAGTATGAAAGATGTGAATCCCTAAAGGCAAAAAATTATATAAAAGAAACATGGAACGTCATTAAAAATATAACGAACACAAAAAACTTAAGAGAAAATTAAATTAAAATTAAAAATATAATTTTGGTTTCAATCTCTAACATACGAAAATACGGAAAAGCTCGTCAAAAATTGGCACTACACATATAGCTTTTACTATACTACACATATACCTTTACAAGGTACTAATTCAGTGAGGTTATCACTCGTGCGGTTGAGCTGACGCGCACCTTACGATGATAAAAAACTATTTTTTCTTGTCTATATTTAAATACTTGATATTTGTTTTTCAGTTTTTACTCAAGTATGGCCACTCAAAAAGCCAAAAGGTACTGCATATAGCATACGGGTGCTAACAATAGTAATGCCGACTTTTTATTCTTTACTCTTCCTAAGGATACTGAAAGTTAAGATATTATTATTTATAGGTATATCGTGATAATTAGGTACCTAGTTACTGTCTTCATAGTTACTGATTTATTATTTGACTAGCGACCTGACCACAGCTTCGCAGTTTTCAATGACCTTAATTTTATTTATTGTTATTGGTTATCGCAGTTATTACAGTTATTGGTTAAACACTTTGTCGATAAAAGAAAAAAAATTAAAATAGTAGCACTTCCCATTGCCACTCTTTCATTAATAATGCCGTCACGTGTTTCATGTTTGTAAATAGTAAAAAATGTAAAACAGAAAAAGGTATGTAGGTAAATTATCCGAGTTTCAAGACGTTCACGTTGTTATAATCTTAATTTTACATATTAGTACTAAGTTAATAATAGATCAATTTCATAATATGTTAATGTAAAAAAAAATATCAGTGCCATAGGCTTCTATTCCGTTCACCTGTTACACCCTATTTTTTCCAGACGGTAAAAAATCAACCAGTATAATAATCTATAATACTTAAGACCATAGAGATAAACCAATGTTACGTAACGCGTTGTTCGAACACCCCTCCCGCCACGGTAACAGATCGTAAAGTTTTACAAGACCCCCTCCCCCCAAATTGCGTTACGTTATACTTGAATGCCCCCTTTTCTTATTGATTTTAGGTTATAAAAGCTGTTGATATTTATAAGAAATAAAGTAAGCCCAATATACTCCCCTGTATGCTACTTTATCTATCATCTTCACTGAAGGGCTGTTTTATTAGACTCATTAATTATTAATGGCATTCCCCTTATATTAATCTTTTCCAGCCTGTTCACAAAGATAGGGACAGAGACGGTGTCAAAGCTTGGTGTCAAAGGTGCTTTTTTGATATCAAGAAACACCGTTTAATTTTTTTTTAATCACTTTGTTCTATTACTGGCTAGTTTAGTGAAGTTACAGTTTCTTTTGGGGATTTACTCATTCTAAATCCGTATAGGGAAGCAGACAAAGAATTTCATATTTATTATGAAACTTTAGTAAACAGTTATTCACGAGTTTTTCCAAAAATTTTGATGTGCCAGGTAAGATAGATATAGTTATTCACTTCCCCCATATCCCCACCTTTATGTAAAGGATGATGAATGATGATGTGATTGAAATAAAATAAAATAAAGAACAAAATGGGTTGCAGGTGACTCGAAGCGCGCGATGGACGAGTACACGTCAGAGATCCTGCTGCACGGAACCAACACGTTGGCAGTGCACAACACGTGCGAAGACTCGTTGCTGGCCGCGCCGCTCATGCTAGACCTGGTGCTGTTGGCCGAGCTGCTGGGCCGCGTGCACGTGCGCCGCGACCACACGCACGGTACTGATGAACTGCTGTGCTGCTGCCGCGGTGTACTTGCTAGACCTGGTGCCGCTGGCAAAATTGCCAGGCCGCGTCCAAGAGTCCAAGTGCGCCGTGACCACACGCACAGTATTGTTGTACTGCTGTACTATTGCCGCGCCGCTCTTACTGGACCTGGTGTATGTGGTGGAGCTGCTGGACCGCGTGAGAACGTGTGTCGTGACTACACGCACAGTATTGTTGTACTGCTGTACTGATGTACTATTGCCGCGCCGCTCATATTGGACTTGGTGCTGGTAGTGGAGCTGCTGGACCGCGTGAACGTGCGCTACGATCACACGCTTATGCATGAAGCAAGCGAGCGTACCGCACACCTGCTGCTCTAGATCTGATCACAATCTCCCGTAAATATCTGCTACATCAGAAAAATTGTAGCGCTTTGGAGGCCTTTTAGCAAAAAGGTTCTTTGTCTAAGTCGTATCATTCTGGAAAATCGTTGGTGGCTGTAAATCCCACAGTGTGATCTTGCCTAACAGAATTTCTTGTAAACGCGCGCTTGAGGACCGTTACTATCAAGATAATTTTGTTTTTATTATCTTATTTAATTTCATATTTAAATTTATTCTTTTATAAAATTTTAAATAAAATAATATTATCTTTTACGAAAGTGAAGTGACCAAGGAATTTACAATCCACCTGATGGTAAGTGGTTACTACAGCCCATGGACACTTGCAACGAACATCCAACAAAGAAGTTTGCAGATGCATAGAGGTTTTTGAGGAAGAATTGGAATATCCCGCAGTTTGTAATTATATTGGCTCTCTATACCCTACAGACCGGAACACAACAGTGCAAGTACTGCTAATTGGTGCCAATTGTATTTAGGTTAAAAGGTTGTCCTACAACTGGCAGCAACGTGGTAAAGTTATGCTGCAGTGATATTATGGTTTAAGCACAAATTATTGTTCGGCTCTACCAGGTGTGTGTGCATGTGAGCGTGAGCAAGAGAGTGCGTGAGTTGTTGCTTGCGTGAGTACGTGCGTGTGTGTGTGTGTGTGTGTGTGAGGTCGTGCCTGCGTGCTTACGTGCGTGCGTGTGTGATTAAGTAAGTGATAGCGTGCGTATAAGAGTGAGTGTGTGTGCGTGTGTGCGTAAGTTCAGGGATCTATTCAGAGATCATCCACTATTGGATGAAAGCCTCCGTCTCGTGCCACTTGTCTCTCTCTCTACCTTACAGCAGTACGTGTGCATAGGCTTCCCGCTATTACCCATAATGGCAATTTATGAAAGGACGGTATATTATAAGAGGTTATTATCTGATCCAAGCCGTGTTCGTGTGCAGAGTGGAGTGGGCTGCACGCGGTGCTATCAGCACTGTCGTACCTGGTAACGGCGCCACTGGCGGCGCGCGGCGCGCCCGTCGTTAACGCGCTGTTCAAGCAGCGCGCCGCGCTCGACAACCTGCTGCGCGCCTGCCTGGCGCTGCGCCCCGCCACGCACATGCAGCTCGAGCACAAGGTACCGTGCCTTACCGTACCGCATCATTCGTTCACTCAGTCCGCACTGTTCAAGCAGCGCGCCGCGCTCGACAACCTGCTGCGCGCCTGCCTGGCGCTGCGCCCCGCCACGCACATGCAGCTCGAGCACAAGGTACCGTGCCTTACCGTACCGCATCATTCGTTCACTCAGTCCGCACTGTTCAAGCAGTGCGCCGCGCTCGACAACCTGCTGCGCGCCTGCCTGGCGCTGCGCCCCGCCACGCACATGCAGCTCGAGCACAAGGTACCGTGCCTTACCGTACCGCATCATTCGTTCACTCACTCCGCACTGTTCAAGCAGCGCGCCGCGCTCGACAACCTGCTGCGCGCCTGCCTGGCGCTGCGCCCCGCCACGCACATGCAGCTCGAGCACAAGGTACCGTGCCTTACCGTACCGCATCATTCGTTCACTCACTCCGCACTGTTCAAGCAGCGCGCCGCGCTCGACAACCTGCTGCGCGCCTGCCTGGCGCTGCGCCCCGCCACGCACATGCAGCTCGAGCACAAGGTACCGTGCCTTACCGTACCGCATCATTCGTTCACTCACTCCGCACTGTTCAAGCAGCGCGCCGCGCTCGACAACCTGCTGCGCGCCTGCCTGGCGCTGCGCCCCGCCACGCACATGCAGCTCGAGCACAAGGTACCGTGCCTTACCGTACCGCATCATTCGTTCACTCACTCCGCACTGTTCAAGCAGCGCGCCGCGCTCGACAACCTGCTGCGCGCCTGCCTGGCGCTGCGCCCCGCCACGCACATGCAGCTCGAGCACAAGGTACCGTGCCTTACCGTACCGCATCATTCGTTCACTCACTCCGCACTGTTCAAGCAGCGCGCCGCGCTCGACAACCTGCTGCGCGCCTGCCTGGCGCTGCGCCCCGCCACGCACATGCAGCTCGAGCACAAGGTACCGTGCCTTACCGTACCGCATCATTCGTTCACTCACTCATTCATAAACATAAACAGTTTTATGTTTGTTTTCAGTTTGGATATACAAAGTTTTTGCACACAATTCTCGCGTTACTTTATTTCAATAATTATTGAAATTACCAGGTCTTAATGTAAGCGTGTACCTGTTGTCTTGGTTGTTATTAGTACGAAGTATATTATTCGTTAGGACGATGTCAATGTCATGTCAATGATACCATTTGTTTGTATTATATCTTTTTTACATATTATGTAACTGTTTGTTGTCGTCACAAAATAAATAAGTAAAATTTATATCGCTGTATAATGGCCGAGATGGCAAGAGAAGAATCCATCATCTCTTCATCTTTTATGTGCCGTAAGAAGTATCTCAAAAATGCCAGATGAATCTAATGGGCTACAACATAACCATCTCATTTACGCTAGACGTAAAATACCCAACCGGCCCGACGGTGAGCAACAGCGTCATAGGTGCTGCACCTTTGGTATATCGACCGTCAACTACCAATCATAACGATTAAGAGAAATCACTCCCACAACGGTTAAGACCATGTCTAACAAGGGATTTTGACGGACTGATGGTGATGATGATGACTCTTTGACTAATGTGTTTATGAACAAAAATTTCATTGGTTCAGGTGCCGTTTCTCCGCGCGGATCTGCAATCGGGCGCCATGTTCGCTGGCGACGCGCCTCCCGCCAAGCGTCAACGTCACGCTCAAAACGGCGCACAGTAAGCATCGTTGCTCCGACTCTTAGTCATCAAAAAAATCAACACTTGGTTTGGGAAACATTCCAAATACGCTTTCAATATAATTTTATATGTATCATTTACTTTTTAAACACGTAAAATGTACTCAAAGTTAAAATGAATTCTATAGAGGATATAAAAATAAAATAATACTATTGTTACATATATGTTTTGGATCAAATTCAAAAACTTGCTTATTAGATTAACCCTTTAATCCCCATAAAATTCCCATGCAGTCGCATGCGAACGCACCCACCCACATCACTTAAAACCATTAAAACTTATATTTAGAGACTACTTTTCTATGAAGAAGTTTGGCATTATAAAATCTATATAAAATTCTCTATCCTGTAGTCTAAACAAAAGTCAGGTTTTACTTCATTACAAAAAGATTTTATTGTATTTTGATAACGAAAAAAAAAACATATCAAGCGAATGTCGGCAGCGTGAAAACACAATTATTTCAATATATATTACTCGAAATTATTTACGTAAAACGATAAATTATATTCACACAAAAACTTTCATTACAATTTTATAATAAAACACTATACTAAAACACTAATAAAATCCAAAAATCAACACAATAACATTCACACGAAAATGGCGTACGAAATGAACGTAGATTATAAATAAATATCTTTAAGATAACAAACTTTTTATTGCACTAAAAGATAGAAAATTTCATATTGATTCTATAATGCTAAACTTTTTCATAGAAAAGTAGTCTCTATATCTAAGCTTTTATGGGTTAAAGTGCAGTCATATTTGACCACTTGAATTTTGATGGAATATCGAAGAGGTCAAATTTGGCCGCTTGGTGTTTGAGAGGTTAAGAAGTAAATCAAAGATACTATATATATATTAATATCTATTCAGTATTGCTCTGTATTTTATACACAAACTTCTGGGCTTGTGTTAGGTTATAAGTAGCATTTTTTTGACTAGCGGAAAATAACTGATTTTAGAAAAATCTAAAATCACATAGTTATTCATTGTATATCTTCATTGTTATCTTCATTTTTGATAATTTTTTGTATTTTAATTTTAGGAATAGTGTTATGGGTAACACCTCTCATAAGTTTTTTTTAAACGGCATTATGGCAACACTGACTGTACTTAATTTAAAAATTATTTGGTTGGCTTAGTTTTTACTTAAGAATTATATCTCAAAAAGAAATCTGGTCGTATAGATAAAAATATTTATAGGAAAACTAGTTCATATTCACTCAAAATTAGATGTAATTATATTTTCAAAATGAAAATGTTACGATTAAAGTTTTTTTTTGTATTATTTTGTATGGCATTAAAAATGTACGAGGCGTAAAATATGTTGTAATTTTGCAAATATTCAAATTATACGAAGAATTTATGTTCCGTGAGAAAATATATTTCCTTCTAGTGATTTAATGTTCAGTATTAAGAAATTGAGGCATTGTTAAATTTCTAAGCATCTTTCCAATTGTTTAGTGTTATGACACAATAAGAAATATGTTGATTTTTTTGGTCATATTTATTTATATTATATGAAATAAAACTAACAATAATAAGGCATTTTTGGCTGTGCTAATATTTATATACTTTCAGTATTAATTTTCAAGTAAATTTATTTTATTTTTATTAATTTTCTATGGAAATTTATGAAATTAGTTGACCAGCTAAGATGATTATTGTATACAATTAGTATGTGTCCCATATATCTGAAATATATACCCGAATAAATATTTATATAAAAATATAAATAGAAATCAAATATCTCACTGATTATTTTAATAAAATGAAACTGATCTTATTTTGTAGCAAAATATTTCACAAAATATCATTTGTCCACCATTCAAAGGAAAACAACCTGAAATTATTCTACAGATTCCTTTTATACAAACTCTTCTTTTAAAACATCTTTTAATTGTGGCATGTGGACCACAGTATCCACTTACCATCAGGTGCGCTTGCTTGTCACTCTTATTCTATAAAATAATCTTCGACTGTGCAGTCCTCAAGTGTACTCAGGTGTCCTAACGTTCTCAGAATAATTGATCGATTTTTTGAAAAATTTATACAATTACTATGATGTACTGAAACTAAAGCCACATGTATTCATGAATGTGTCAATATCGCCTTTGTAGTATTTACATTTGGATATATTTACAATAAAAAATATGTTTAAATATCTATGTTTAGTCCATTTGACAGATATCATAGTTATAATAAACGTAACACTTTTCTCGAAATCTCACGTCAGTATTAAATACTTGAATGTTACTTGAACTTTTTATAAGTAATTTGATATATATTTAGTGTTTTGTTGGTGATTTTGTTGTTAAAATATTTATGTTTCAAATGTATTACAGAATTTATTTTAATACAATAAGTAGTTGATATTTTGATGTTTCGTTTGACGAGGCATTACAGATTAAAAATCATTATTAACAGTTATTTTTAGAGGTAAGTGTATTTTCCGTAAATTAAAAAGTATACCGATGTGGATGCCACTGTCTCGCACGCCAGTAGTAAGCACCTAACGTAATCGTTACGTGCGGTCCGTGTGTATTTTATGTTTGTGTCAAATAAACCCTATAATATTACAAAGTGTTTCATTTAAACATCAACTACACTATTAAACATGACTGTTCTCTCTAAAAAAAATCAAACAAGAAATTTAAGTTATTTTATTGTTATATTTATTTAAAGATATAACTAGGTAAATTAAAACTTTAGTTAATTTTCATTGAGCATAAATTACTTTGGCTATTGCACTGTAGAATGGAAATAAGACCAACTCTGTGCCAAAGTAAATTAAATCAATCGAAGTTACAGTTCTTATGAAAAATTTACATTTTCAAAAATTTAATTAAATTTTCGTAGGAACTAATTAACATTTTCATGACGTTAGTTGTTATAAATGTTACGGGTAATGTCCGAAGAAGTAGTAAACCTAGTTTTACCCAGTGGGTTGGGTAAGATCCGAATAAAAAATTGGCCATCACTGGGGACTGCCGACAGAAATGAAGACTTAAAACTATGAGATAACAGTGGTCAACGCGCTTTTCAGTAAGAGGCTGCCACTCGAGAACTTGTCTACCTTATCGGTTGTGGGTGGAGTCTGCCAGCTATATGGCCGGCAGTCTGCACTCAGCTTACTGATCCGCTAGGCTATGTCATTTATTCTTGTTTTTCTACAGATTTATTCTTTGGAAAATATCCGTAACATAAGCAATATAAATAATAGCAATATAATATAAAATTCACAAGACGTTTACACTGCGACACTTAGAACCGTACTAGCGGACCATTGTGCGACAACATTAGCTTGTGTTGTATCTCAACACTATACAATATGAAACGTAATTAACGCACACCCTCAGACACCCCAATTAGTATATTATGTTCATAAATATACAAATCATAATTCATACACTGAATTTTTAGTTAAACATTTTTTATGCACTGATTATTTATCAAATTAGTTATACTAATTCCGGAAGAATGTTGTGGTCACAGTACAAATCCACGAACGCAAACACTTTAACGTGCTTGAAATAAAGTTCATTTTTCTTTATTTTTATTGAATGACAGCATTAGTAATAACACAAATAAAACTGCACTCTTAAAAGTCTTATTGTCTTAAGTTAAGGTCCATTTCAGCTTGTTTTGACTGTACAGATTTAGTGTGACTGTAATTTACGTAGTTTTAATTATTTTTGGGATAAAAAATTACCTATATTAAAAATGATAGGAATCGATTCAGTAAACGATTCTGAACAAACTACTTTCTCAAAGTGCGTTAATTATGTTACATGTTGTATAGAGGCGGCTCCTAAATTTAAAACATAATATATTGACCACAAAAAAGTTTCTGCCTTATTAAATAAAATAGATTGGGAATCAACTAAAGGTATTAGTTGCCCCATTGAAATATACAAATTCATTAAAGATAATTTTAATAGATGCTACAATGATGCCTTAACAAATATTCAAAAAAAAAATAGAACATTAACGAGGACAGAAAATAAGTGGGTTAATGAAGGGACTAAAAGGGCATGTGAGAATAGGGACTATTGGTATTCTTTGTGGTTAAAAAATACTGACGATATGATTACTAAACAAATTCAAAATAAAATACGTAATTCGACTAATAAGCTGATACAAAAAAAAAATTGGTACATCAAAACGTATATACATAATAATAAAAATAACCAGAGACTTTGGCAATTACTAAATAAGATCACGGGACGGACAAGTCCTTCCATCGATAATATAATTTTAAATTCATTTCAAAATGAAAAAGTGACAACACTTGATATCGCTAATAATTTCGCTCAGGCCTTTGAGAAAAATGTTTCAAGCATGCACCTTCCTGCAATCGACCCCTTTTACCGATAAACATGTACAGATCGCCTGTAAACGTAACATTTCGATATCAAAAGCCTACTCCAAGCTCAGTAGCTAAAATAATAAAAAAAAACATTAAAACGAACAAAACACCAGGTATAGACAAAATACGAACAATAGACTTGATATCCATTGCGGACAAAATATCGGTAACTATAGCCGACCTAATAAATGCGTGTATAGAAAAAGGCAAGTACCCTACTGAATTAAAAACTGGAATTGTAAGACCCGTACATAAAAAAGGTAGGAAAACGGATTACGACAATTATCGCCCAATAACAATATTACCTACACTAGACAAAACAATTGAAAAATATATAAGTAAACAAATAAATAATTTCTATAGTCAACACTCAATTTTAAATAAAAGTCAGTATGGTTTTCAGCAGCATAAAAGTACCACTCAACTTTTATCTTCTTTTACTGACGACGTAAACCATTATCATGATAATAAAAGACATGTTCTAGTTAGACATGTTGAACACCCTTAGACATGACTTACTGATTTAAAGGCTTGATGAATGTGGACTGCGAGGACCCCTTTTAAATTGGTGCAAAGACTATGTTAAAGAGAGAGCATATAGAGTTAAAGTA